GGAGTGGGGAGTGAGGGGGAGAGTGGGATTAGACTGGGTGACTTTTAACATGTTTTGGAAGGTGATAGTGCTTGTGTGAATGCGCTGTTACCTGATAGCAGGTTGCCTTTAGTGGGACCCTGCTGTGCATACATGTCACATTTGTTCGAATGGAGCAGAATGTCATTACCTATGAGGTGCTGGTAGTACTTGAAGGCTTTATGACCCTTTTGGGGGGTGGTGGGGGATATACTGTCCCTGGGATGGTTGGTTGGGCAGTATGCAGCTGATGCCTCTGGAGATGGGTTTGTGTGGGATTGCACTCTGTACTGTTCCTGACTCACTGTCAATGCTGCCCCTGCTGCAGGTGAGGCAGGGCAATGCAGCTAGCATTGAGAAGACGTTCCTGGCCATGGACACTGAGGAGGGGGTGGAGGTTGCTTGGAATGAGGTTCACTTCGCCAATCACCGGGTCTTCCACCTTCATGAGGTGAGCATCAGTCACAATGACACAACACGATGAACATACCATCAGCTCCTGGTGTTTCTTTATTCACTCATGGTGGGTAGAGCATCTCTGGTTGGCTAGCATTTATTGCCCATCTGTTGTTGTGTGGCACTATCACCGTGCTCAATGGGACAGACTTCGCACAGATCTAACGACTCAAGACTGGGGATCCATGAGGCGCTGTGGGCCATTAACAGCAGCAGAATTGTACTCCAGCACAATCTGTAACCTCATGGCCCGGTATATCCCCCACTCAACCATTACCATCAAGCCAGGGGATCAACCCTGGTTCAATGGAGAGTGCAGGAGGGCATGCCAGGAGCAGCATCAGGCATACCTAAAGATGAGGTATCAACCTGGTGAAGCCACCAAACAGGAATACTTGCACACCAAACAGCGAAAGCAGTAAGTGATAGACAGAGCTAAGTGATCCCACAACCAACAGATCAGATCGAAGCTCTGCAGTCCTGCCACATCCAGTTGTAAATGGTGGTGGGCAATTAAGCAACTCACTGGAGGAGGAGGTCCCATCAGTCTCCTCTCGATCATCAGTAAAGTGATGGAAGGTGTCAGTAACAGCGCTATCAAGCAGCACCTGCTCAGCAATAACCTGCTCAGTGACACCCAGTTTGGGTTCCACCAGGGCCACTCAGCTCCTGACCTCATTACAGCCTTGGTACAAACATGGACAAAAGAGCTGAATTCCAGAGGTGAGGTGGGAGTGACAGCCCTTGGCAACAAGGCTGCATTCGACCGAGTGTGGCATCAAGGAGCCCAAGCAAAACTGGAATCGGTGGGTATCGGGGGCAAACTCTCCGGTGGTTGGAGTCATACCTGACACATAGGAAGATGGTCGTGGTTGTTGGAGGTCAATCATCTCAGCTCCAGGACGTCTCTGCAGGAGTTCCTCAGGGTAGTGTCCTTGGTCCAGTTATCTTAATAAAAACAGAAGTTGCTGGAAAAGCTCTGCAGGTCCGGCAGTATCTGTGAAGAAAAATCAGACGTTAGGCTATTGGATTAGTAAAGAAATGAAGGGTTACAGGGAGAAGGAGTAGAGAAACATATCAGCCATGATCAAATGGCGGAGCAGACTCAGTGGGCTGAAAGGCCTAATTCTGCCCCTATATGAGATGGTCTAATGGTGTTGGAAGTGTATTAGCATTTTCAGCTGGACCCTCAAATCCCATAGAATGGGTCCATAGAATCCCTACAGTATGGAAACAGGCCCTTCAGCCCAACAAGGCCACACCAACTCTCTGAAGAGCATCTCACTCAGACTCACCTCCTACCCTATCCCTGTAACTCCACATTTCCCATGGCTAACCTAGCTAGCCTGCATTTCCTTGGACACTATAGACAATTTCCCATGGCCGACCCAACTAACCTGCACATCTTTGGACTGTGGGAGGAAACCGGAGCACCTGGAGGAAACACACACAGACACGGGGAGAATGTGCAAATTCCACACAGACAGTCGCCTAAGGGTAGAATCGAACCCGGGTCCCTGGTGCTGTGAGGCAGCAGTGCTAACCACTGAGCCACCAAGCCACCGTGCCGCCCACAAGAACGGAGAGGGTCAAGAGAACTTTGCTGGGCTTCTTTAGATAATGTCATTGAATCAAACAGCTCAAGGGAATGGCTGCCGGATCCCTTTAAGGGATCTCTCATTACCTCCAATGCAACAGACCTTTCCCATGAGAAAGAGCCGATGTGTGTAAGTTGGGCTGAATGGCCTCCAGTGCAGTAACAATTTGGTAATGAACCTGTCTACCCTTGTTTCTCCCTGTCCTTCTCCAGCTCCCTTTTGATTGATTGTGTTGGAGCCTGTTGACAGTTCCCAGATGGCAGTGACTCCCCGTATGGAAAAGCTGAGGCTAATCCCCAAGGTTTGTGGGGCTGTCTCTATGTCACACAGCCGCTCAGTGAGTGCCATGCTGTGGGTGCGGGGTTTTGAAGGGGAGCACTGGGTGTTCTGTCATGTCTACAAGTCCCTCGTTCTCACTGGAAACTCTTGCTGCCTTTCCACAGGAGAATATTAAGTTGGTTTTTGAACATTTCATGCAGCTGGAACATCCCAACATTGTCAAATTTCATAAATACTGGATTGACAACAGCGAGAACCCAGACAGGAAGAGACCTGCAGGAGAGAGTCACACCAGGGTGAGCAGGCTTTGACACAAATGCTGTGGGTCTGTGTCCCAAATGGCATTGGGTTTTGAATTGGTGCATTTAGGGAAGGTACAGAGTCAGAGATAACACGGTGTGGAGCTGGATGAACACAGCAGGCCAGGCAGCATCAGAGGGGCAGGAAGGCTGAGGTTTCGGGTCGGGACCGTTCTTCAGAAATGGGGGAGGGGAAGGGGACTCAGAAATAAATGGGGAGAGAGGGGGAGATGGGGTCAGGCTGGGGAAGGTAGGTGGGATGGTGATAGGTGAGTGTAGGTAGGGAGTGGTGGGGATTGGTCAGTGAGGTGGGAGGAGCGGATAGGTGGGAGAGAAGATAGACAGGTCACTGAGGCAGGGATGAGAGGGAGGGTTGGTCATGGGATGAGGCCGGGGCGGTGGGGAGATTTTGAAACTGGTAAAGTCCACATTTAGGCCATTGGGTTGCAGGCTCCCGAGGCAGAATATGAGGTGCTGCTCCTCCAGTTTGCGGATGGTGTCATTGTGACACAGGAGGAGGCCCAGGATGGACATGTCACTCAGGGAGTGGGAGGGGGAGTTGAAATGGTTCACGACTAGAAGGTGTTGTTGTTTGTCACAAACAGAGCGTAGGTGTTCCACAAAGTGGTCTCCGAGTCTCCACTTGGTCTCACCGATGTAGAGGAGGCCACATCGGGAGCAGCGGATGCAGTAGACTGAGTTGGAGGATGTACAGGTGAATCCCTGTCAGATATGGTTTGGGCCTTGGATGAGGGTGAAGGGGGAGGTGTAGGGGCAGGTGTAGCACTTCCTGCAGTTGCAGGGAAAGATGCCGGGGATGGTGGGGCTAGTCGGGAGTGTGGAGCGGAGGAGGGAGTCACGGAGAGAGCGGTCCCTATGAAGGGCAGATGTGGGGGGAGGGAAATATCTCTTTGGTTGTGGGGCTGGATTGTAGGTGGTGGAAGTGGTGGAGAATGACATGCCACATACAGAGGTTTGTGGGTCGTACATTAGGACCAGGGGAATTCTTTCTTTATTTTTGTTGGGAAATATGTTTGAGAAGACCGTGGTGCAGTCTTTTGGGGGTGCAGGGCTGGTACTGGGAGGGAGTCACAATATTCAGGAATGGTACACAATAATTGGAAAAAGGTCAAAACCCTTGAATTGCTTCCCGTGGGTCATTGTGGGTCTACCTACACAGACTGCAGCTGATCAAGAGGGACGCTCACTACCACCTTCCTATCGCAATGGAGGGAGCTTGCTGGATGTGGAGGTGCAGAGGGATCTAGGTGTCC